CCATCTTCACTACCAGAATACCTATCATAAACGGGGTGCATATTATATGATTTTCCACTAATGATAATTCTATTTTGCAATTCTTCAGTCATAATTTTAATACGTTTTATTTGTTTAAGCCATGGTTATATATGTTTAACCATTTTACATTTGAATTAGTCATAATATGTCTTCACGATATAATTATCATGAATGTCATATACTTCATAATACGCTAACAAAGTCTTCTTCGTTACCCTTTGCGTACATATGACTTCGTCTGTCAAACCACTATGTTCATATGAATGACTAATCGAGCTTCCGTATAACGGATAATCATCCTTATAATTACGAACCTCTTTTAGCTCTTCTAAAACAACTGTTTTGGATGTTTCTCTTTTGATTCTAAAGAATCGGTAGGATGGGCTGCCAAGAGATGAGAAGCCCCCATTTCGCGTTACGACGATATGACCAACAACTATATCTTCAGATTTCATTTCCTCTATAATATATTAAAGAGTTATTTCTTTAAGCCACTTCTACCAACCGTCATCATCATCAGAACTCTCAATACATATATTACACAGATATTTTTCATATTTCTTATCTTTATCATACAATTCAAAATCATCGTATTTGAAACCACAAATTAAACATTGGAGAAACTCTTACTTCCAATAACCTCGTCTGTTAAACTTATATTTGTATACATATTCACTTTATCGTTATTTTTCGTAGGGACTATATCCATAATACATCTCAATTCCTCAAGATAGAAACGTTCAACCGTAATTCTCTGTACTCTATAAAATTTATAATATTCAAGCCAATAAAAATATGGATTAAAAACTAATATATCCCCAACTTTAAAAGCATATAGTTTCTTAACCTCATCTTCATCATATATTTCTTTTTCATAAACTTTACTCGTATCATATAATTCATAATATAATTTCAAATCATCACCATTAACGAATAAAGTATTAATAGCTCTGTCTAATAATCTTTTATGGTGACGCGTTACTGATTTAAATGTTTCCTCATTTAAAATATCAACATATTCATCTTCTAATTCTCCTAAAAGAAATGCATTAAAAGTCTCGTTCCTCACACCCGCTCTAACTATCTCTTCTTCAATTCTGTAAAACCCATAAAAGTTTCGTTTAACTACTATATCTCCAACTTTCATTTTCTATATAATATATCAAAGAGTTATTTCCTTAAGCCACTTTTATATATAATTTTTTCCCTAACCTAGGATGTGAACCTAGGATGTGAACCTAGCATAGGAAACCTAGCATAGGAAACCTAGCATAGGAAACCTAGCATAGGAAACCTAGCATAGGAAACCTAGGATGCGTGATGGTTAAAAGCCATCCCTTAATCAACTAATGTTATCTTCGATAACAAACAAAAATAAATCAATTATCAGATCTTCATTCGGTTTCCATTTTTTATTTCATTCGGTGTCCATTTTTTATTTCATTAATAATAACCAGGCAATATTTCAATCGGGTGATATCAAGCATAAAAAAACCAGCTGAAAATCCAATAAAAAATCTATGGCTAAATTGTGCCCGAACTGGCCAGTGCCCTCTACTATATCCGTATCTATATTCTGGCTACTAAAAATATTGAATCCACTAAATTAAAGTCCCGATTTTGAGGGTATAAAGTTGACACGCTGGAAATAATTGATGGTTTTCACGTCGGCCATGTTGGAAAACTTTAACAAAAGAATTGTGAATGAATTCTTTTGTTATATCCTCCAACATGGCCGCCGTGTCTTTTGTTATTTAATTCTCTTGGGAGTGGTTGAAAACCTTCAGTAGTAAAATGAAAATATTCATCGCGTAATATTTGGAAAACGCTCTCAAAAATTTTTTTTCATATTGCAGTATTTTGGGTGCCTTGATGAATACTATCGACTGGTGCAAGTCGCTTTGAAAGTTTAGGTCTAGTTTTCGAGAAAATAAGCGGTAAAAGATTTCTATGATGTCATCATTATGTCATAACGAAAAGGCCGCTTTAAATTATTTTACCATTTTTGAAACCTTTAATCCTTTCTTGACATTGTGTGAAAAGCGCTTGCAGATCGAGTTATTCAAGACGAAGTTGTAGCCGTTTCAATGCGGCTAGGTGTGCCAGACCAAAACTACCCACAGCCTCCTTAATGCGTGTATCAGATTGCGTCCTGTCGTAACAGGCTCTTTGTTAAGTCGTTTTCAGTATTTCATTTTGATGTTTTCTGGGAATAGCACCAAAGGGATCATTATCATTTATTAACTTCATTTTCGTTGCTTACATTATAGACTGTAAGTGAGCCAAACGATATACAAATGGCACAATTGACAAAGGAAATAGAACACATGCCTAGAGACATGGCTATCTTTTCTCGTTGCTTGAGATCACTTTATGCAGAAGAAGCTGTAGGAACTAATTCAGGAGCCGCTGTAAAATTTAGAAAGCTACGAGATGATACCAGAAAGGACGCCATGGTTTACCTCATAGTGGTTCTTCCAACTTGTTTCAAGTTTTTGGTGTCCATAAGCAAGTCGATTGAGAACTATGAAGCGTTAGAGTATGAGGAATGGTGTGATAAACTTGAAGACATACTTGTAAAGACTACTGGCTACAAACAGCTTTGTGAAAGGATTACAAAGATGCATGAAAACATCCTTGTTCCTCTTAAGAAGAGACAAGATCAAGCCAACTTGGTCGTCCAAGAGCTTAAAGACCTACAGTTGGAGTTCGAAAGAAAAAAGAAAGAATTGGAAAAAAGTGCAGATGAGAAATCTATGTGGGCAATTGTCCTCTTTTTTATTCCAATTGTTAATTTGATCGCGACTCCGGTTTTGCTTGAAGAGTCGGCAGACGATACTGCAAAATCAGTTGCTCATGGTGCCCAGGCAAAAGTCCAAGAAGCMGCGGCATTAACGATCCAAGTAACTTTGATACCAGCGCTAAAGTCGTTCATTGACGGTCTGCACAASGCAGCAGGCTTCTTCAAGGTGATGGAAGTGGAATTGGGAAAGTTTCAAGGAAAGGCTGAGAAAAGCAAGGAAACTAAGAAGAAACTTTACTACAAAATAATGAAAGCAGAGGCAAAGAAAATAGATTCTGTTTGCCAAAGATCTTACAGCGTCATTCCAGTCGTAACAAGTGATCTTCAAGCCATTCCTACCTAAGGAAGAGACCAAAATTATGTGCACAAATGGCTGGAAAAACAAATTCAGATGATAGAAGAGAAATGCACTGCTSGAACGCTTGCGAGAAAATTGGTTCAAGCAATTACTGGTGGGCAAGATGCATCCACACGAAAAGCCATAACACGTAAATCATATCTCTTTTATTAGACCAAGGAACGTGAACATTTCGATTCACTTACCATAGACGGTTAACACAGATAAACTAGATTTTTTATAGTCAGTATTATGGTTTCTATACTAGTATAGTTTCAGTTTTGCTCACAAGCGACATATAACTAGGTGTCGCTCATTGCACCATTCAGTAATTAAGCCATGCAAAATCATAGTTTGTTTGGTTTGACCGATGTTTTGATCAGTTTCTTGTAAAGTGCACTCATAGTTTCTAATTAAGAAAATTAGAGAACATGGTATACTTCTAATTGTTCAGTAATAACTTGATTATGTATTTTTTCTTGATGTTTCAAATCTGTTTTTGAATAAAGGTTTGTCTGGAATGAATAAAGATCTTTCCCCAGAACTGATTGATGGATTCATCTTCATTTAACGCCTCCTTTATTTCAAAATAACGGTTATTCATGGTACTAGATAACATATAAGAATGTATAATTGCGAGGAGAATGTCACCTTGAATTCCACTCATTATGAGTTACTCTTTAAAAGCCAGGAGTCTATTTCACCTCAGTGTTCTGTTTCTCAAATTTCTGAATAAAATATGTATTCATAGAATAGCTATTGTCCCATTCTTATCATCCATAACTGCTCACGGATCATAACAATCTAGCCATCCTTATTCGTAAGATGGAATCACATGTAGTTTTCATGCCATTTATTACTCTATAATGCTAGAAAGAAATCGTTGTCGAGAGAGGATGTGAATCCAATATGGCTGACGGATTTGAACAAAATTAACATCTAAACTTATCATTTTTCCTTTGTATTGTACCTCGTATTTATGTTATTAAGTTATGGTTTCTGCGGAGGAGTTGGAAGCAATTTTAGAGAAGAAACTGAGTCCTCTTTACACTGAAATTACGAGTATAAGAGCTCAACTTAAAGAAGTTAATTCGTTCTTGGATCTAGCCAACGCCAAATATGAAGAAGTTTTGTCCAAATACAAGCAATTCGAAATCGACAAGAATAATCTTATTGCTGAAAATGCTACACTCAAGAAAACAATACAAGCGATGGATGTCAAAATTCAACAGCTTCAGAAGGAATCAAATGATGTTAGACAATATACTCGAAGAGATTGCTTGGAAATTCAAGGAATTCCATATAATAAAGATGAAGACACCGATGCAATCGTTAAAAGTGTAGGTGACTTCATTGAAGTCTACCTTTGCGATGGCGACATCTCAATCAGTCATCGTCTCCCGGTTGGCAAAGATTATAAGGGCACCCGAAAAGCTCCTCCATTGATTGTAAAATTTACTCGTCGTTCAACGAAGGAAAAATTCTATAAGGTGAGAGCTCAACTTAAAGATTGCTCTACACGAGACCTTGGGTTTGCTGACGAAA